TGCAGTGCAGAATGTTGCTGATCTCAAGGCATGGCCCTTGGAATCTGGCCAGGATTGCCCGGTGGAGATCAATGGATGGGTGCGAAACATCCGGAAGGCTTCCGCCGTCCGTTTCGTCGAGGTTTCCGATGGCTCAAGCTATTCCACCGTGCAGGCTGTCGTGAGTAAGGAGATGGCTGAAGAGTACGCCATCATCACGCAGCCCGTGTCCTTGTCCCTGTGTCAGCTCTATTAATCATTTCCCTCTTAGAATCCGACTTGGGGCTGCAGTCCGTCTAAAGGGGTTATGGAAGCTTCAGAATCCGCCTCAAGTCTTCTCCCCTCTTCCTGAGGAGCCTGCTCCTGCTCCTGATGAGAAGCCGCCCAGGCTGCCACAAATTAAATTCATTGACCCAACCCCTGATGCTCGTGAAGAGCGGCCCAAGATCACCGTACCCGTTGGGGAGCTTCAAGTCGATGAGGTCCAAATTCTAGGGGCGTCGGACCCCGATGTAAGCCCTTATCTCTCCTTGGTGTGACCCGAGATGGAGTTTGTTTCTGAACCGTGCATAGACATATCCCATCCAGAGGAAGTACACATCACCAGAGACGCTGCGCAACTGGCCGCATTTGCGGATGCGCACAAACCTCAATTCAACTTTGCTTCGGCTACGATCAGATACCATTGGATCGTTGAGTAAGATTTTCAACCAAGAAAAGTTTATACAAACACACCCTCCTATCATCACCTCAGCCGACTGTGAAGGGGCAGGGGAAGCCTTCAAGGTCATCGGGGGCACTCGAGAGAGCCCCTTTTTCGACAGTCCCAAGTTCTTGACTGTGTCGTCCCAGCTCCATCTGGAAGCGATGGCGCAGGCCGCTGGCAATGTGTGGACCTTGTCCCCTTCCTTCCGAGCTGAAAGAAGTGACACAAACAGGCATCTGAGCGAGTTTTACATGCTCGAAGCCGAGATGAGCTTTGTCGATGACATGGGTGAAGTTATGGATTTGGTACAGAGGATGATGAGATCCCTCGTTCAGGACCTGGCCCAGCAGAGCTCATGGAAGGAGCTTGAGCATGCCAGGAGGCATCCTCGGGGACCTGCCGAAACTCGCACCCTGGAAGACTTAGATGATATCGCCGTGCTAGAACGTCGGTGGAATGGCATGCTCGTCCCTGAACAATGGCCACGGATTACATACTCTGAGGCGATAAACATCCTCGAGGAACACATTGACAAGTTTGAGCGGCCACCTGTATGGGGACAAGGCCTTGGTTCGGAGCATGAGAAGTTCCTTGCTGAACTAATCGGCTACGACAAGGAACGAAACGCATACGTCCCTGTGTTTGTCACTCATTACCCGCGAGACATCAAGGCTTTCTACATGCGGGAGTCGGCAGCCGAGCACCATATCAAGGGCCAGGTTGTCGTCGACTGCTTTGACCTGATCGCTCCGGATATTGGAGAGCTTGCCGGCGGCTCGATGCGTGAACATCTTCTCCACAAAATCATCACCAACCTCAGACACTTCTCGCTTGAGGCGTCTGCGAACGATCCGCGGCTCAAGTGGTACGTCGATCTACGAAGATGGGGATGTCCTCCGCATGGTGGTTTCGGCATTGGGTTCGACCGGCTGCTGAGCTACCTGACGGGGGTTCGCAGCATCCGCGACCTGGTGGCATTCCCTCGCCTCTACGGGCGGACTGATTGTTGATTTGGGCCTCGTCCGGGTTCACAACATGGCCGGTTGCCCACTTCTATGGGTTCGATTCGGACCGGTCTCGTTTCCCAATGTGAGAGTTTGTCTCTCGTTTAAACCTTCCTGCCTCGGCCCGTGGCTGTTCGATGTGCACTGAGTTCGCGAAAGAACTTTGGCCGAGACTATGGGTCTATGGGTCAGACTGTAATGCAACGACAGTGTCACAACTTCAGAGTACAAGACTGACTCTGGTTTCACTCAGACAAGGCATGGCTCGGAGAGATGCATATGCCAAATCTAACACGAGGTTGTGCAACTACAATAGCCGCTGTGTACTTCGGCCAAGGATCGACAACGTGTGCACTTGGAAGCTTTGGGTGGAGGAGGGTAAATGAATCGAGATGTGAAGGCTCTATCTACCATTGCCAGGTTTACACTCGCCTATCGTCGCAATATTGTATCACAATCATGCAGTCTTGGGCTGCTCATGTATCACCAAAATCTCGCATAACATACATTTGTACCATCAGAACTCCCAACAATAGATACTACAAAGGGCTGGTCTTGGATTTAGCTAGGCGCTCTGGAAACGATAATAACCATCCTCACACGTTCAGTTGTACTTGCTCAAGTCCCTCTGTCTCTCCTACGGGTAGCACAAGCGGTCACAACTCTATTTCCGGTGGTCGTCTTGTCTCCAAAGACGAGAGACCCTTACTCACCGCCGTTCAGACGAATTACACAGTGGAAGCACAACAGCGCGGCACGACTCACGGGCATCGACTTACTCGCAAACTGCGTAACCGTACGGAGCGCAACACAAGAGTCGGTTTCATCACCAAAAACACAACACGTGGCCCCCCAGGACGGGACCCCGACGATGGGCGATGCGCCGGATAGCCGGTAAGGGGAGATGAGGCTGGATATATCGGCAGCTCCTGGACCCGGATAATGAGCTGACGACCACGAAAGGCGCAGTGTAGGTATATACATGGGAAGAAAACGTCAGACTGTGCGCGGGAAGGGAGGCAGCCCGCGCCCTCTCCCCACCATCTCCGTGCTTCACAATCGTCATGCTCCCAAAGCCACTGCTCGGCGACCGACGAGAGGAAAGGCCTTGCCAAGGCCGCCTGCTCTGGTGTCCATATTCTCGGCCCGGGAGGCCTGACGACGCGTAACCTGGGCGCCCCGAGCTCGATTTCAAAGTTTGGTGAGCGAAGGGGGGGCGGGCGCCACTCTCTCTACCTTCTACACTATACTATCCCTTCCCGCTCCGTTGCTAACGAACATCCATCTCCTCGGCATTCCCTCGCCGTGATGGTAAGCTTGCTGTGGTCCCTTCCGGGAAAGTCGGCACTCCGGGGGCGTGTGCAAGAGAGGAAAACCTTGTTCCTCCATGGCTGCAACAAGACTAGGGGAGAAAAAATAAGAGGGGGGGAAGAACCTTTACGTGCCAATGACACATGGGCATAACCTAGACACAATCCCCCCTCAGAAAGTCTGTATTGTTAAGCATATCTAAGAAAAGGGCGGGCCGATCGATGTCATTTCGCCGCCTTGCAGAAGGGCCCAATGCCGTGACAGCCGTGTGGCGTGCGGGCATGACTAAATAGTGGGCTCTCTTCGCCCTTCTTTGATTGGGAAAGTCGTGTTTATTTTATGGTGCGGCGCCAGTCGCAAAGAGGGAAGAAAGGGGGGGCGTGTGTCCTGCTGGGAGGATGGATGGACGGCATCCCCTGCCATGGGCTTTGGTAACGTAGCGAGCACGAATATGAGGCCTTTTTGATTTGGTGATGGAGGGCCTTGGCCTCTCTGATCTGTTTATTCCCGGCCCCAAAAGCTCTTGCCAGGGCCGCAGATATCACGGAAGGTCCCATGCAACTCGATAGCAGGCGTACTCCATCTTTGGGTCCGTGATGGGGTTCTACTCGGATATCCGAAGCCGAAGGATAATAAGAGAGATTGGAAAACGCCCGCTGGCGGCCTCATACTTGGACTCACATGCCTGATGGAGGTTTAGGTAGAGATAAAGGACGGAATAAAGGCATCGAGCCCAAATAACAGAACCTACCCTGTAGTGGTCCAGATTGCCTCTGCGCTTCGGATGTGGCGTATACCCTAAACTGAAACTCGTCGTTGGTATCTGCCTGCACATCTCTCGTCGATCCGGTCGACCCGGAAATTATCTTTTCACCGCTTGATTCTCGCCATGTCAGGTGTGCGGCTCACGAGACAACAATCGGAGAACACATGGTGCATATCCAAATATCCCGACTCCGGCGTGCAGACAAGAGCGGGTCGGCGCAATATGCCCTAAATTTACCGCCATAGGAGATCTCCCACCCCAACCCAAGGCTAGGTAGTAACATGCTTAGCGATGAAAGTCATCCGTGCATACTAGTAGATAGTATATCATTTGCCATGAAGATGAACCAAGGTTTGATATAATCATGCGTCTGCCGACATTAGTGTCGCTGACTTTGATTAGCAGCCTCCAACCATCGGCGCAGAGTGACATAAGTCAAATACGACCACAAGCAACCTGAATGCTACGGTATTTGCCCAACGAAAGCTCTGGCCAGTCCTATTAGTCTCAGCATAGATATCATTCATAAACACCAATGGAATGTGACCTAGTGTTATGACTGTCTGTCCTTCGTCTCGTCCAGCAGCGACAGCAAGAGCAGTGATCCTTGTATTGCCATGAAATAAGCTTAAGCAGGGATACGGTGGAGACTGAGCTTGGCACTGGTCAATGGCAAAGTTTCGTTAGTCACAAGCCTTGGCATCACTTTTCATCAGCAAACCTTCTTCCAAGCCCTTTTTTTCTCTGCTTGGCTCTCTGGCTGGACAAGGGATCCCGCCACCGCGATATTCCTACTGCATATGGCAGGAAGGGCAGCCAGAGATCTCGATATGTCCAGTCTCCGAAAGCAAAGCAGACACGCCCACATGGTCCGGTCTGAGTCTTCTGGTAGGTGGATCTGCCTCTTGGCATCAGGCACGCAGGTCGGAACTGCAGAGCCGAGACGCCAATCTTGTTCACCTTGTGCCTTTTCCTGTCTCGGCCAGCAACGGGAAAAAAGAAGAACGAGAGCCAAGTCCTTTTTTGTCTTGACAGGTGACTCACCTGGTGCGTCACTGGCGTTGTCACCCATGACGACATGCCTGTCCCTCCCGCGAGACACAGCAGAACCAAGCCCAAGCCAAGCCAGAAACAGATTGACACATTGTGATGTTACCGTACCAGACGCTAGAGGAAGGGCTGGGGAACTTTTTTCCCACTCGTTTCATTTTAAACTCTTTCTTTTCATTGTCTCTCATGCTTTGGGTGATGGATCTGCAACTGACCCGCCGTACACGGGCCTTTTATTGCCAGCTGGGTCCATGTCTGGAACGAGACCTATGGTTTGATTAGCTTTTTTCCACGGCATTGAGATGTCAAGGTAGGATGAAGTAGATCATGACGGCGCTGAAGCCGTCGTGGCCAGTCACCCGACGGCGGCCATACCAGGGCAGGGAGGCCTCAGACCGGCCGGGGTGAGGCCATGAATACCCACGCGCGAAAGCTGTGATTTTCTCCTGGCACTCGTCTCTGACAGTACCGGTGGGAATGGCAGCACGTCCCATGCCCCTGTGGCCTGCCCTTCTAGAAGCCACATGTCTCTCCAACTTGTTCAAGGTTTGTGGTACCCCCGAGGAGGCCAGGATTGGAAAACAAGGGCACAATTGGTCCTGCGCCTCTCCCTGGGTCCCCTGCGGCTCTGTTAGTATATTGGTTGTGTGTAGTGATCTCTGGCCAAGGACGGACACATCAGCAAGAGACGGGCCCTAGAACAACAAAACACCCGCCTGTCGGCCTGCCCGGTCATGCGCACAACTGCGTGTCCATACAGAGTCCATGGCGCGCACCCTCTCGCGTATCGGATTAAGCTTGATACTGCGGTGGGAATAAGCGGGAAGTACGGGACTGACTACGCACCGTCGTACGTAGCGTCTTACGTGCGCCCGCGTGCACGCACCCATTGAGATTGAGCGTACAAGGTGCGTATGCCCAAGACTGTTGATGCTCTTGGCTAGTCGCGCTTGGCCTGCATTATAAAAAGAAAAGGTACCATTAAGGCCACCAAACAGTTGACTGAGGTTAGAGATGCAGATTGGCTCCGCTCTTGGTGTCTGACCAACTCCCAAAACGATGCTCTCGTCTAATTAAGGCAGAGAGAGGCAAGAAAGGAACAACACCAAAGAAAACACCCCTTGGCCCCCCGCTCCCACAAAGTATAAAAAAGAAATTGCCCAAAATGTCCGGGAGGCCGCCCAGGAGACCAACGGTTGAGGGATGGCACATGTCTATTTGCGGGATTATGCATAACCCAAGTGAACTATCATGTTATCTTGACCGCACCTCGCGCTTTGTACCGAAAGCATCCGCTGGATGCGACGCTGTGGGTTGTCATATTTTTGAGTTTAATTCACCTCTGGGCTGCATGCGCGCGGCGAATTACACGGCACATAGCAGCCGCTGAAACAGCACACCACCTTGGCAACCCTAGAACAGCGATAGGGAAATCATGAATGCCTGCCTGCGTGTCATTTGATGTGGGCAGGGTGCACGCTGCTTGCTTATCTTACCCTTTGTTCTCGCTGATGAAGGATCCCCAGCTGGTAAAGATGGCTCTGCTTGCAATGACGCTGACTCACCTCGCGTGCTATTTCTGGAGGGCAAAAGATCTTCCAGGCACTTAGATCCCAAGTCGCCGCCGCTCGTGAGCATGAGCATGAATAGGAGCGGCAGCGGCGGGAGAGCAGATGCGTCCATTGGGGGATTGTCAGAAATGCAACCTCGTAGCAGCAGGTGATTGGTTGTCGTGGCGCAAACACGGATGCGTGCTACCTCACATATGACAGACAATGCGAACGAATCGAATAGCCCTGCCTGTGCCCGCGACGCTCGCTCCTTGTCGTACCAGGGCGACGTTGAGTAAGTCTTGAATTTAAGCATAACAGGTGCAGTAGACCCAAAGCCACCTCGCTGCTGGTAGGCCCAGGCCTGACAGACACCCTACTGCTTTGGTACAAGGGGATACGATAGTACGCCTGTATGCAGAGGCTTGTTCTGGACCCCTTTGGTAGCGCCGCCCCTCGTCCTCCATTCCTTTCCGCCCTCAGCTCGTCCTCCCCTCCTCTGGTCTGGCCTGGCCTGGCGCCCGTTCTGGTGTTTTCGTAATAATATTGAGCCCCCTTGGGTGAAGGTGTCATTTCCGCCCCACGGCACGACTGACTGCCTCTGCAACAGCATACTGGTGCCGCCGTGGGACTGACTCTCCCAGACGGAGGCTTCTGCAGGCTGTCTCTGCTCTGCCCAGGCTGGACTGACTTCTCAGGATGCCCGCCCGCAACTAAACCGTAAATCTTGGTGTGGGGTTGTGTGACTGTAGCAGATGCTTGTTTTGGCATTTTGCCTTCTGACCTTCATGTAACCAAGCATTCCCCTAGCAGTTTGGCATCGACTTACATAACTAGGTCTGATCATCTGAAATCAGTGTATAGTTTGGGCTTAGCGACAAGACAGACCCAGCACTCGCACAAAGTTCTCGGCAGCCAAGTCGGCAAGGACGGCATCTCATGGCGCGGCGAACGCCAGCCACCCCTGCTCGTGCATATACCCCGGCCTTGAAGGAGGGGGCGTGGCTCCACGGCCAAACCACTCGTATCTAGCTGCGGCTTTGTTTGACCTGGACAGCACGGCAGCGTACCAAACGAGGCCGATCCGGGCGAGCGAGCACGAACGCACTATGCATGTCCATATGGTTTCGTTCGTAGCTGCACTATGGCGAGGCAAGGTAGAGGGACGCGGACGAAACCACCGATCTGCTGGGGGCGCCGCATGCCCATGCCGCTCTCCCTTCCTTATTAGTGACACTCCCATGGCCTCTTGTTCGAGAATAGCGTCCGTGCCAAGCTCGAGGGCTGACAACGCTTAAATTCATGCTTAAAAACCCAGCGCAGGGTTGACCACGCCCGGCCGAGTTATCCGTAGCGCGGCCTCTGACTGGCTGGCTCCCCAGAGTGGCTCGTGGGCTGCCTCTTTGGCGACAAGGACCTGGATCTGGATGACGATCTCAGGGCCAAGACTAAATCCCTCTCGCGCGCTGCTCATTGCTCACTCCTCCCCCAGGCGCAGTGTCAGCAGCACACTGCTGAGTCCGAGAGGCCTCCTCTTTTCCCTTTGCCATCCCATCACCACCTTGAGAAGGTAGGTGGTGGGGTTGGATTTTCGCTCTCTCACTCGCGCACCCCCATCTAGCCCCAGACTGGTACCTGCCCTACATTGGAGGTTGCTTTCGATCCGCCTGCTGTCAGTTGGATAGTCGGGCTGCCAAGAGTGCTTGGGTGGATGGGCGTGGTTGATCAATATGTGTATCGTGATTCTCCTCCAGGCCCGGTTGCATCGCAGCACTATTGCCAGATAAATTCCCTTCTAAATGGCGTGCTTGGGCCATCATTTCACCCCATCCGGCGCATAAATCGGCGGGCTTCTCGATAGTAGGTTTGGGGATCGCCCTGCTGTCATGGAGTGATACTAAGAAGCTTGTTTCGGTTCGTGACAAAGCTTAAGGCCAGCCATGAGATGCGTGGCTGCCAGTAGGCTGTACGCAAATGCCCATTACCTCCAATAGCGTGGATGTGGCTTTCGCGACATTATTTTTGGCTAATACGGGCGTCGAGAGGGAGGGGTGCAGATTGGCCGGCACCTGGCAGCTGAGCGAGGTACCAGTACATCGTCTTTGCCCCGAGAACGATAGATTGATCCTGTGGCCTTAAATCCAGGGTCTGGAGTGGCAGAGAAGGGGGCCAAGACCACGTAACCACAACTGACGATGATATGCACATCTCAATCTCAACTGGAGTCCATCTCCATCACACTCACGTATGCACTTACCGTCCCGTTGATTCATACACTGATCATCAGTGGCTCTCGGCTGGTTCTGGATCTAGCTGCGCTCTGCACTGCGCGTATAGCTCCGTGCGTCAGTCCCCAAGACAAGAGAACCATCGTTTTAAAACAGCGCACGCCCCCCTTCTCCCCCCTACACCCCACTCAGGCCGGTTAAACGGCTTCCCAGATGACGAGTGTTACTTGGTCTAGAACGCTGCCATCGCTCACACGCCCTGCCCTGTGTGCGTCTGATAGCGCAGGACATACGCTGAGAATGAAATGATAGCAGGCCGCTCTGGACACCTGGTCAGCCACCTCCCTGAAAACAGCGTTTGACCATTTGATGGGGTAAATCAAGCTTTTTCAAGCTTATTTTAAGACTAATCCTCTACACGAGACAGCGCTGTTCCCTTACCTTGCTGCGATACGTCGTGCACCCCCAAAGGGTTCCGGCATACGACCGAGCATCTGTTGATCGCCTTCGACTAGGCAGGCACGTATTCCGTTGTGCTGGCTGTCCTGTTCCCTCTCTGTGGGAAGGCCTACGTAACGTAATTTGGTGAAGGCCGCTATCGTTATTCCCGCCCTGCGGCCTCCGGTGATTTGACTCGAGGCGGGAGAATATGGATCAGTCGGCAAGATAGACTGGGGTGCCGCTTGTGCCGAGCCCGCTATCTGGTATGAGATTATGAGGCGGATTACGAATTCTCAACGACCCAGTGCCGGCTTTAACGGCACCGCGGCGTCCCACGATTATTGCTTCAGAGACAAGCGTTTCGGCACATCGGATCTTATGCTTGTTTCTATCTCGATGAAGAGGCCGCCAGTAGGCAACGGCCCTTCAGAGGCCGAGCTGACAGCGGGCTGAAGAAGTGACTTTGGGCTAGGGAGGCCAGCGCACCATCAACACCCGCCATGTTTTCAGCCCAGATTGCGCCTCAGATGGGGATGACCTGGACCCTTGACACAGCCCCAATATCGTAATTTCTTCTAGAGCAGGTCTGGAATTTCCCTACTAACATTGCGATATGTCAGGAGCTGTTGTGGCGCATTGATGCATTTGTGGGCGGCAGTTGTTTGATGTATCGTGTGACTTTGATAACGTACAGAGGGAAGACGTATGGTCGTAGTCAAAACTGAGCTGGCACTAATTAGGTGTAATAGGAGGAGGTGCTGGCAAGCATATAAAACTGTGCTAAATGGTATCTAGTAGGCAGTATGGCACCATTTTCAGCATCATATACGACCATGGAATGAGCATATGAGCCCTGGTCGCGCACCGAGCTGCCCTGTAGTCGATGATAGGCAGTGAGCTATCAACCGACTACTATGTATGAACGTTGTCGTAATTCCGAGTGACTGGTGTTTCGAAAGTCACATCCCTCCCCGGACTAGAGGGTAGAGGTCGAATTTGGACATCTCTGTGTCATTCCTTGACTCCACAGCTGTTAGAGATGGACTGAATAGGCACTGGAAAGCGGTGCTGAATGGGTAGCGTACCCCTGTTGCCGTTGCATAGTTACCCTTTCGAGGAAGACACGTGAGCAGTTCCTGGCCAAGTCTCCTTGCTCGTGTTAATCGCTCTGACGCTGTGCATACCTGTAACATGGGCGTCTTGCTCTCTCGGAAGGCAATAGCCTCAACTGGCCGCGTACGCAGAAATATAGTAGTAGGTGCGCTGGAAACGCCACGAATGCTACTAATGGATGGACTGCCGCTCAAGACGGCGGCGGCGACACGAGCTATCGATCCTCCGCGTAGCTGGAGTTCGTAGTGGATAGATGTGGCTGCCCGGCTGTGCGGCACAAACCCTGACTCGAAGGAAGTCTCACCAGCCTTCATTGGAATTTGAACTGCGGAACAGCCAGCCGACAGCACAGAAAACTGCACGCAGTGCTGGTACCCTATTTTGCCGCACGTAGGGTAATTATCTGAAGAACATGGGGTATTGCTTCGCTACGGCGGTCGGCTGGGAAGCGAGCAAGCGCAACGTTTGCTTCAGCAAACATCTGCTGGTTCCTCTCGCTTTGCTCCCTACACATAACAAATGACGGCGTTGTACGAACTTGGCGGTCGATCTATTTATCCAGCGCCAACCTTGAGTAACTGGCTGGATTTCCTCCCAGTAGCCCCGAGGTCGTGCAGGTTTGGTCTCTGACTGTTTGATAGTGCTGGGCTAGGCTATCGGAAAACACCCGGTGCTAAAAGGTGTTACGATCGATGCCTTGAGGCGGTTATCAGTCGCGAACCGTGGGGTATGACCCATGGCAGCGGAGGACGACGTCACTATCAAAAAGAAGGTAAATGCACGAGTACTGGGTACGTCGTATCTATTATGCTATGCGAAAGGGGTGCTAGAGCCGGCGCAAGCATGTAGCATTCGAAGATTGGCCGAGTTTAAATCGCACCCCTTGGCCGGGAGAGACGGCATTTATGATCCTGGCCAGGTCAGACGGAACAGAGACAAACAGACTCAAGGGCGGGGCTAGGGAGCCGCAAGATCCGAGTAGCTTATTATGAAGGACGCTTATAGCCCAATAATCGATGGCGTGTCTGAGTGTGCACTAAACCAACTTTAATGGCGTTCCTCTTATTGTGTGGGTTATGAGAGGAGCTTTATGGTTGTTGCCCTGGGCCGCGAGACGCCGAGGAGGCGGCTCTGCTTATATTCCTGGAGGCGAAATATGGAGTATGTGCGCATGGGACGGCAATGCTAGTAGAGAGGCCGCCAGCTCGAAGGCCACTTCCTGGGCCGTAATTCCGTGCGGCGAGCTTCAAAACGGATGAATCGGATTGGGAGTTCCTTCTGTGCCTTCAGCCCTGCTTATAAAGTGAGGTGAGTGGAAGCGAGGCAAAGACAGCCTGGGACAAAACCTTGG